ATATGTATTTATCTCTGTTACCCTTTGCAGCCTTTAAAATCAGCTCTGCTTGTAAGGTTGTGGTGCTTGATTAAATATATTATGTCTTGGTTTTAATTTGTAAATGTTTCTCGTTTATGATCAGTCCAAACCCCTCTTTACAGCTACACAGCTGTTCCTGCAACAGTCTTTATGAATAAATATGAAATTTAACTAACTAAAAAAGCGCCAGAATTTTAAGGACTATTGCTTTATGGATTAATGCAGTGAAAGTGAAAATAACTCTGAAAATCTAGAAGGTTATTAGCAATAGATGCTTATTTTTATTATGAATGTTTGAATGAAATTTTTCATACATTAAATTTCTCAATCTCTCCAATTTCATCAGCCCACATCATCCAATTTGGTTGTACGTTTTTCCTTTTTGAGTCAAGATACTTACACATAATAGCCTTACTTACCTAATTTCCGTCGATTTTGCAAATCCAATAGTTGAAATGATGGTGATGTATTTAGTAATATAACTCACCTGTTTGATTTTGAAATCAAACATATGTGAGTGGATCCAAAGTCCCAACCCTTCTTTTCTTATGGTAGTTTTTGGTTTTTGGTTCTACTTTTAGTCATATCCAATTATCCACAGTAAATTTGATTTTTATTTGTTTTCTCAGTTGCAGCTAAACAGAATTTGTAGTCCAAGAAAGGCTAAAGGAATTATTTATGGTTCTACTTTCACTTGTTTTTGGAATTTTAACTTTCATGAAGGTTCTCAGATCAACCTAAATTATAATTTGGTTAATCTCCAAAACAAATAAAAGAAAAGTACTTTGTAGAGAATTATTCTACATTCAAATCATTCTCTTCCTTGTTCTTGAAGCCTTATCATGAAGGGAATCAACTAGTTATTTTGGTTGATATTTAGTATAAAGTTCATAGATACAAACAGAAACCAGATGGATGAAATGAGTTTTATTCTGCTAACTGAAAAGAGTGCATGAGTTCTTGAAGCACTATATCATGAAAGGAATCAACTGAAACAAAACCCCAAGAAAAGTAAAATCTTTTCCAAATTTGTTCCAATTCTCATCAGTTGCACCCTCAAGAAACTTGTTCGGTGCATGAGAAAACAATCCATGTGGATTGATAGAGACAGAAAAAGGAGGGTAATCAGATCCGTATCTCTTTATGCCAAACTGTGGGGCAAAGAGGATAAAATTTTTAGAAAAGGCGACATATGTGTATCAAATCTAGTAACTTAGCACTTAATAATCATATAACTACGATTGCAAAACCTTTGTCTTTTTTTTTTTTTTGGCTGGATCTTTTCTTCTACCAGCCTATTTCGCTTAATTTTGCTACTTATACTTTTGTATAAAAAAACACTATTTGATTAGAGTTTTTTTCTCTTTTTTACATATAAAAATTATTTTACAATTTAAATTGTATTGAATTGTGAAATAAAAAATATAACATGAGGGGCAGGTCACCTTTGAAATTGAGGGCTCTGTTTCACAATCAAAACAGGGGACTGTTTTAAGTATTGAATTTCAAAATTAAAGAAGATGATCATGTGTAATTTAAAAAAAAAAAAAAACTCCTTCAGAAATCACAAATCTGAAGTTTCTTTTTATTTTATTTTATTTTATTTTAAATTTTTAAATTTTTATTTTTTGCCAAAAATTACAATAAGCTTCTGGAAAATCAGAAACACTCGTATTCGGCCTAGTTTCAACTTACTGAATAGAGGAATACTTCAAAACTAGGCCAATTTGGCACCATGTATCTCCCCCCTAGAGAATATGAATTTTCAAGTCCCACAAGGCCATGTTCTGCTGGCTCTAGATAAATGAGGCATCAGGCACCCCTATTTTAGAAAAATTTTGCAGAGAACTGTCCCTAAATGAGTCTCAGAAAGAGCTAGATCATCACCTGGGTATTGATCACCTTTCACCAGGGTTCATGTTAATCAAAAATGGAATCACAGAAAGGGCTTGCACAGAAATTTTCCAATATTCCTTTCAATTATGCTGGACCCTCAAAAAATAAAAATAAAATTACTGCAGTATTCATAACTCTACCTGTCTATATATAGTGGGGGCCTTTTGCCTCTAATGTGACAGTAAAACAAGACATACATTCTTGTTTACGCTTCAGAAACCACAAACACTATGGCATACAATCAACAACACCACCTTCGCCTGGTTGCAGATGAAGGCTTCCAACTTATAGAAGAACATTATGGCCCTGCCCGTAGGTGGGTTGACAATTATCTTCAGTACTACCAGCGGCCAGCAGGACCTAAACCACCTAACACTGTCACAGTATTCCAGAAGCCTGTTTGAAACCTGAATTTTTTTGTTTTACTCTTTTTTTTGTTTTTTTGTTTTTTGGTAAAAGGAGAAGATATATTAATTGGAAATAGTTCAACACATACGGGGAAATTCAATTCCCATAATATTAGCAATACAATACTGTTTGACAGATAGCGGAATGCTTTCAAAAGTGACAAAATCATGATCAATGCCATGTCCGAGTTCCGCCATCTGGTCAGCAGCCATATTAGGTTCACGGACGATGTGTTTGAGTTCAGCAAGGGAGATTTGTCGAAGCAACTCCCTGCAGTCAAAAATTATGGCACTCAGATTATGAGATGTAGGTGGGGGCTCTTGAAGGAGCTGGATAGCAACAAGAGAGTCAGATTCCACAATAATATGAAAAAAGTTATGCGTAATGGCCAATTGTAATCCGTCTCTAATAGCCCAAAGTTCTGCTGCAAGGCTGTTAGACCAGTCAATTTTCCTAGCATATCCAAACTTCCAGTTGCCATGGTGATCATGAAAGATGCCCCCGGTAGCTAAAATGCCTGGATTCCCTTTGGCTGACCCATCCATGTTCAGTTTGATGACATTTGGGGGAGGTTTCGCCCATTTAAAATTCTCCTCATGGTATATACAGGTAGCTTTTGGAATAGCAGAGGCCCAAAATTCCGCAGCTCTTTCAATAATACTACTTTGGAGGTTATTGAGCTGGAACGGTTGGGGGGAATGAACAGTTTGATTATGTTGGAGCCAGACTCCCCAAATAGCAAAGCAAAACAGAGTGTTCCAAGGGATGTTCAACACATTCGTCTTGAGCTTGCAGTGGGAATTAAATTTAAGCCAAGAAAAGAAGTCTAGGTCTTGCTGCTGCTGCGATGAGATATCAGGAAATAAATCCTAAAGGATAACGGTTGAGGAAGGGCAAAGTCGGATAAGATGCTCCACTGTTTCCTCTTCATCCTGGCAGCGAGGACACATAGCAGTAGATGCAATACTTAAATGATGTAAGAAACTGAAACATTTTAGTCTCTGGTGAGCCAACAGACAAAAGAAATGTTGAATTTTTGGGATGGTTGGTAGCTTCCATATCCAATCCCACTCTTTTTCAGCAAAAGTAAAAGGATTTTTAAGAAGGTAGTAAGTAGAAGTAGCGGTGAAGGTGCCTCTGGAAGTTCCCTTCCAAGCAAAAGAGTCCTCTCTATCATTAAAGATAGGGAGGGGGATAGCTTTGAGTCTATTGGAGATATCATCAGGGAGATAGTAAGAGATAAGCTCAAAGGCATGGTCACCTGCAGTGAAAAAATCTGAAACAGTGATAGATTTGAAATCCGGAGGGTGAGGGCCATACAACATAGAAACAAGAGGTATCTCTGTCGCCTAGCAATTAGTCCAGAAGGAGATATTGGTGCCTGTATGAGGCACCCATTTCAGACCTGAACTAAAGAAATCATAGCCCTTAATTATAGCTTTCCAGATAGGAGATCCAGTATCAACTGGTCTAGTGTGACAGTCCTGAATGTTATATTTACTTGTAAATATGCCACTCCAGACTTTATCTTTCTCCTGGTGAAGTCTCGAATTAAGTTTGCACATGGCAACAAGATTAACCTCTTTAGCACTTTTTAGGCCAAGACCACCCAAATGCTTTGGGCTAGAAACGATGTTCCAATTAACTAGATGGATCTTCTTTTGCTCAACCTCTGAACCCCAAATAAAGTTATGAGAAATCTGATCAAATTCCTTTAGGGTAAAGGCTGGTAGCATAGAAGATTGCATATAATAATTTGGGATAGATGCCAAGATTGACTTAGCAAAAGTAGTCCGTCCTGCTAAGGAAAGAAAATTAGACTTCCAACCAGAGAGTTTAGCCCGAACTTTATCCATAATAAATTGACATCTGCTTCGAGTTTCTTGGTTGAAATAGGGACACCAAGGTATTTTCCCAAGTCCTCAGTTTAGGAATATCTGAGAATGGAGCAAAGGTTATCTCTAATGTCTTGGCCAACATTCTTAGAAAACAAACACCTTGGATTTCGAATGATTAATCTTTTGGCCAGATCTCTCACAAAAAAATTGAAGGACTTCCTTGAGGTGAAGACAATTAGCTTCTGTAGCTTACCAATGAAAATGATGTCATCAACAAAGAAGATATGAGAAACAAAAGGACCCCTTCTCCCAACTTTACTGCCTTTCGATAGTCCAGCATCCATGTCTGCAGAGATTCTTATGGAAAGATACTCCATACAGAGGATAAAGATGTAAGGTGAGAGCGAGTCTCCTTGACGAATACCCTGAGAAGGGCAAAACTCTTCTGCTTTGTCTCCATTAATGAGAATGGAGATTGATGTAGAACTAATAGCAGACATGATAAGCTTGATAACATCGAGAGGGAACTGAAAGTATAGGAGAGTCATGAATAAAACCCCATTCCAGCCTATCATATGCCTTCTCAAGATCAAGCTTACAAATCATGTCTCCTGTTTGCCCAGATTTTTTTGAGGAGTGAACAAGTTCTTGAAGGATCAAGACATTATTTGTACCTTGCCTGCCAGGAATAAAACTAGATTGGCATGGAGAGATAATCTTGTCCATCCAAGGTTTAATCTTGTGTACAAGGATCTTGGATATGATTTTGTAAACAGAATTGCACAGGCTTATAGGCCTGAATTGATGAATATGCTTAGAAGATTTAAGTTTAGGAATAAGGACTAGAAGGCACTCATTCCATTTAGGAGGGATGCACCCATTCAGAAAAATATTCTTGATTTCAGAGCTGATTTTTTCCCCAATAAAGGGCCACATGTGTTTATAAAAGAAGGGGTGGGTGCCATCTGGTCCCGGGGCCTTAAAGGATTTCAGAGAGTTAACAGCATCCTAAATTTCCTTATTGGTTGGGCAACCCTTGATGGAATCAAGGCAATAGAGAGACTGAAATTGGTGATGAATTGACTGATATGAGTCAGAGAATGAATAGGCATGAGATGTAGTGAATAGCTCAAAGAAGTACTCAATAGCAATGGACGCTAGTTCACTACCATTAGAGATCTAATTACCCTGACTATTAAATAGGCCAAAAATCCTATTTTGAGATCGATGTTTCAAGGTAGTGACATGAAAAAACCTAGTGTTTCTGTCACCATTAGCAATCCAATCTGCACGAGACTTCATGAACCAAAGATCTATCTCCCAATTAAGAATATTATTATATTCTTGGAGGAGATCCCTTTCTAGATTCTAGAGGAAGGATGAAAATTTATAAGCATGAGACTTTTGAATTCCTTCAATATGAGTAAGTAGTTTTTTCTTTTTAAAGATATTTCCAAAAGTTGCCAAACTCCATGTTTTGGCACGATTCATAGTAAGTTCAACACATTTAGCAGTATTGGAGTTAGTATCAACCCAAACTTGCTGGATGATGTTATGAAACTCAGGATGATCGATCCATAATTTCTCAAGTTGAAATGGATGAGAACCAGATCGAGGACATAAGGGGTTGATATCCAGTAAAATTGGGCAATGGTTAGAGTGAGTACGAGGTAAGTGAAATAGAGCGACTTCAGGAAAGCTAAGTTTCCAATCAGGATTAGCCCAAGCTCTATCAAGCCTTTCTCTGATCAACTGGCTAGAGAAATGCATGTTAACCCATGTAAAACGGTTTCTAATAAATCCTAGATCAACCATATTGCAATTGTTCATGCAATCAAGATAGGCCTGGGCACGAGTTTGGGATATAACATTCCTACCAAACTTTTCACTCTGATCTACTATGTCATTAAAATCCCCAATAATCATCCATGGGCCTTGGATGATATTATCCATGGCAGATAACTCTTGCCATAACATGTTTATGATTTCAAATTGAGGCCTACCATAAATGCTAGAGAAAAACCAATTAAACGGAAATAAAGGTTTGTTACTAACCTGGATAACTGCATGTATTGCTTGGTTATTGGTTGACAGAATATCAACCGAAATCCTAGAGTCGTCCCATAACAGCCATAAGCCTTTAGCAAGACCATCTGAGTTGACAATGTAAGATTTAGGGAAGCCAAGAGAATCCGCTACATCCTGAGCATTAGGACTAGAAATTTTTGTTTCCAAGATAAGGAGCTTGGTTGGATTGTGAATCCTTTTAAGATCCATGACACATTTACGAAATCCAACTTTAGGTGCCCCACGGCAATTCTAAGAGATAACCTTCATTGTCCAATCAAGAGTGGTTGATAGCCCTAGTGCTATCTGGGCTCTCAGTGGGTTGGACGCCAGCAATAGAGATTGGAATGTCCATGAGAGGTACCTAGCTAGGGGAAAATGGTATGGTAAGAAAAGAATTTGGAAGTCTCTCTTGGTGTGGGTCTCCAGTGACCATAGGACTTTCAATATCAGGTGGATGCGTTCCATTTTCCCCTCTATTTGGACAAACTTCAAGTGGTTTAGGTAAGCCAAACTTGTCAATAGCAGGGGCTTGATAAGGCTCGACTCCACGCCGTGTATAGTGGTGTCTTTTGTCGATTCGAAATTCCCAATCTGACATGACTCTTTTAAATCTAAATTTTCCTCGGCTGGGGGGATCAAGTGAGCCATCTCTAGGAGGTTCATCTTCATGTCCGTGAGAATGGGGGCTCTCCACGCTGTGAACAATTGATTCAGTGACCATTTGGATCCCTTGGGGGATGAGCAATCCAGTATCCACTCCATGGCTATCTCCATCCGAATGGTCAATCGTTCCTTTACTAAAAACATTTGGGTTTTCGGATCTGGTTGCAGAATCTGAGATAGATCCATGGTTAAGCAAAGGTTGGGTAGAGTTTTGCGATAGTGGGGTTTGGGGATCAATTCCAGAGGTGCTGGTGGAGGTAGAGTGAATAGGGGTAATATGATTAGGCTGAACTGAAATAGGAGAGCTAATAGTGGGGTCTTGATGAGGGATAGAAAGCTTTTGAGTTACAGAACTAGGATTAGGTTTGGAGACAATACTCTGATGAGTGGGTAGGGCTTGGGTAAGAGAGTTCTTTGACTTGGATTTGGGCTCTTGTATGGTGATGCTCTTGGGTGGGCCTTGTGCCTTACTAGAGGTTTTGTTGACCCATTGTTGGGTTTTGGGTTCTGGTTTGGAAAAATCCACTAGTGGGGCTTTGGCTTTTTAGACCGTTAAGCTTTGCTTCGAAGATTGATCAGCATTTAAAGCACTAAGAACATTATTGTTCTGTTGATTTGAAAGGGAGCTGTTGGTGACTCGTTGGGTTTTGGAACCAGTATACCGAGTTGAACCATTGGAGTCACGACCATCCTTTGCTTTGGGATTTGACGGTATCTTCTCCACCATTGACAAGTTTGGAAGAGGTCTCCTTTTGGATCTGCGCCTCTCCACTAGTAGTCAAGGGCCATAATTATCCTTATCAAAGGATTTGCTAATATCAAATGTCTGCGAAATAGAGTTTGGGGTGGTAGGGGGGTCACAGTCTTAACACTGGGGGATGTAGAGCTTGAGGCATGGGTTGACAAAGGCATAGGATTGGCAGCTTCTTTAACCATCTCAGAGGTAGCATTGAGTTGTGAGCATTGATTATTTCTATGGCCTATGCGTCCATAATGAAAACACAAAGCACTGACACCTTCATAGATGACCCTCTGTTTTTTCTTTCCAATTTTAACATATTTGGCAATAGGTTGTGCAAGATCAATTTGGACACACACCCTTGCATACTGGCCCCTAGTGTGGTGTGTAGTATGAGCATCAACCTTGAGTAGAGGGCCTACCTTATTCCCAATCTTCTGGAGTGTAGTAGGATCGTAGTAGTCAACTGAAAGATTAGGAAGTCTAGCCCAAACTGTTGTGGTGGTAGTAGTGCGAATAGCCTCTTCCAGATCAAAGTTAGGTTCCCACCTCCTCATGGTAAGGTAGTAAGGGCCAATGAACCATGGACCCCCCATGATAACTCTGTTCAGATCCTCATTGTCCTGAAATCGAACAAGAAAAAAGTCAAAACCAAGATCAATGAAATCCCACTTACCATTCGGTTTCCATTAAGCTTGGACTCTAGGAAAAACTTAATTGTAGCCCAAAGGTTTAGGATGGAAAGCTTTGATAATGATAGCATTCATCCATGGTTCTCGGATTCTCCATTTTTCTGCTCTTGATAATAAGACGATCGGAGCGTCATCCTCTGGATCATCATCAACATCTGATTCTTCATCCATATAACTGGGTATGGTATTAAAGGAAAGGATAACTGGGTTCTCTTCCCCTGTGAGTTTATCCTTGTAGGGTAGGGGTTTTGTGTTTGATGGATCGGTGATGTTGTTGGTATTTGTGATTCTGACATTGGAGTGTCTTGGTGTTCCTCATATGCACTCTGGATAGTCATCGCCACATCCTCAGTAGACGAATTTGATGGCTCACCATTCAGAGGAGTGTCTCCCCTTCATGAGCTCTTTGTAGAAGCATTTGTTTCAGATTCTTTGATCTTCTTAATACTCCGATCAAGCAGATCGGTTTCTTGAACAGAGGGGAAGCCTTCAAACAGAGAGAGTTTTTGTTGGACACTTATATCTTCGAGATTTTCAATTGATGTTAACCCCAATTTTATTTCGTGTGTTTTACTCTTTGAATGAATCATAAGATGCATTGATGATACTCTCACTACCATTATTCACACTGCACGCCACTGAGCTTTTTGAAACCTCCATTGTGGGGCTCTAGGGTTCCATGTAACGGCAATTTATGGGAGAATTGTGAATTCTTCCATGCAAGGAGCATAACACGAAAATATTACGGCAAAAGGTACCCATTTGCCACCCAGTGCTAGGGTTCCTTGGAACCTAGTCACTGGGTTCCAAGTAACCCCAACGCCTGGGTTCCAACGATTCTTGTGCTTTAGTATATTCTATCGTTCCCCCCTTTCCTTCCAAGATTCTTGTGCTTCAGTATATTTTATCTGGGTTTTTAACAGATCCTGCTCTTGTGTCTAGTGAGTTTTATATGGGTTTTGTGTTTATTTGCTAGGTGTTTGTTATTGAATCGAAAACTCATGAGAGAAGGATGGTTGGTGTTTTTGGCTTGATTTGATGTTGTTGATTTATATTATGTTTTAATCTTGCTATGGTTTGTGGTCTGGATTTTTCTTTTTCTTTTTCTTTTTTTTTTTCAATTGCTTGTCTTTCTTTCTGCTTCCTTGGAATCTCAAGGTCTCAGTTCAAAGGAACCCAATTATTGGGTTCCTTCGAACCCAGTGGCAGAAAAATTAAAAAATTTCTTTTTTTTGTTTTGTTATTTGATGATGATGATGAAGCCACAAGGGTAGAGATTAGTAGAAATGTTTGGAATTGCAGAAGTTGAAGAAAGAGAAAGGAAAAGAGGAAAGGGAGGAACAAAAAAAATAAAAATTTGTTTGAAAGAATCCAAGGTGGATTTGCTGACATGTTAAAAAATATCCAAGTTGGTGCTGACATGTAAATTTATAACGAAAACAATGATGCACGTGTAGCACGTGATCGTTTGATGTTAAATTTTGCCTCATTTTCCCAATTTAGAAATCACAAAGGGTAAAAATTCATATATTGAAATATGAGAGGTAAAACGCCTCAAATTCAAAATCTTTAAGGGCGAATGGGTACCTTTTGCCGAAATATTACTAGTCCTGCTAGTAACGATAAAATTAACCAGTATGACTCCATTTGTAATTGAAAAAATTACTCCTTCCGTAAGATTAGTAACCTTTTTTGTGATTTGAGAGTAGGCTCATAAATAATTGTTGAAGTACATGTTTAACCCCCCTTATCAAATTAAATTCGAAACTTTAGCCCTTTATTTTATATTATGAAGTTTTTAATCATGAAATTTAGAAGTTTAAAGATTCAGTCCATAAATTAATGAAATCCTTTAACTCTCTTTTAAAATGAAAATAAAATATTTGCAGGATCAGTTTTCAAAGATTAAAAATATAATAATTTAATTCTAAAAGTTTAAAAATTTTAAAAAAAGTTTAAAAAGAATTAATAGATAACTTTCTTGCATAGATTAGAATAGTATTAAAAATCTATAATCAAATCGAATAATTAGCTTAATTTCAAAAAAGAATTCTAACTAAGAATAACAAAATTTTATTAGTTGAGTTAAGACAAAAAATTTTAAAAACTAAAATAATATAATAAAAAAAATTTCTTTAATCTCGATCAGATTTTTTTTAGATTAAACTAATCACTTGATTTGATTATAAATATCTAATATTATTCTTGTGTACCTAACAAAGTGATCTACTAATTATTTTTAACTTACTAATTTTTTTAATTTTTAAACTTTTAGAACAAAATTGTTACATTTTTATTGAGGACTAATTCTATAAATATTTTATTCTTATTTTAATAGAGAATTAATGGATTCCATTAATTTAGAAGTTAAAATCTTCAATTCTTTAAATTCAAAAGTAAAAAATTTTATAATATAAGGTAAGAAATTAAAATCTTCACATTTATTAAGCTTTTTTAAGCGGAAAGACTAAATACATACTTTAATCCCTTAATCTCATAATAATAGACCGTTTTTAATATTTTAAGGAGATGGCAAAATTTTTTAATTTAATTTTCTAATTACTTTTAATTTTAATTATTTATTTTTAATCTCTAACTAAAAATAAAAAAAAAATCATAATTTTGAAATAGATGGAGTAGTAATTTATTATTCTCTCTGTTTAATTTTAATAATTAAAATTTTTCTTTTTAATTTTTTAGATATAAACTTGAAATAAAAATTTAACAATTTATAAAAAT